CACTACACAAATGAGCCAAATAATGTACTTCACTTAAATTCACTCAAAGTATCAAATTTGCCACTTGAACCAGTCGCACAACTTTACTACTTGTGCCAGTCGTACCTGTTGAATGTTAAATTTTACGACTCGAACAAGTGGTAATTATTGGACATGAGTGGTTCTGTGATTAGAAAAGGACAAGTCATTTACATGAAGCTGAACAGAAAGAAAATAACAATTACAGACACTCTTTAAGTAAGGGATAGATAAAACATTGTTCTTTCCTTACCTATGTTTCCTGACTTTCCGTAACTGTTATCGGTGTATCTTTTCATTGCCATATTCGCTTGGTCAGTAAGCCATAAGTACATGTCAATGGCTTCGCACTTAGCCTCACTCTGAAACAGAGGTTTAAGGCAACTCTGAAATGGTCTAGTTGATAAACGTTACACAATTGACTAATTTTACGTTTTGTCGCCTTGTGGTTCTTCTGCTGTAAAATGTTTACAAAATACAAAACGGAAACGTATTGTAATTAGTCTCTCTCGCAAACGGGCGTTGCGTGACGAGAAAAGAACGGCTGCGAGGGAGCCTATACTGTAGTCGATGTTTTTTGTAAGCTTAATGTCTGAAAAACTAATGATGCCTCCTTACACCTTATTTTTAACAGATTGATGTTCAAGTCTCGCCGTACTTTTTCAACCGTACGTGCGGCATGTGTGGAGACTTCAATGCTGAACAGTATCTGGACCTCAAGACACCAAGAGGCCGACCTTACATCAATCCAGATAAGATCAAATATGGACACATGTGGATGGTGCCTGAATACACATGTACAAAAGGTACATTGCTTTCTTTTGTGTACTTTTGACTGTTGGACAGTGGCTGTTTTTTAATCCCTGTTACTTTGGGCTTTTGCTATGTTTCTGTTTGAAAAAACAAGACGTTAAATAGATAGTCCGTGATAAGCTCCATAATATGACGTAAATATAATGGGATATGACTCCGCTTGAAGAAGATGAAAGTGTTTAGTGTACCGTATAATCTCAATTAAACGCCCCGGCGTTTAATTCAAACTTGGCCTTGTGGACCGGCGTTTGTTTGAATTTGCATTTTATTCGGGCTTACTGTTACTAAAGAAAAGTTCTTACGCCTTTTTCTTGACAGCCGTGCATCTTGCCTTTATACCGTTAGTTTATTATACCACAAATAAACGAGCGTTTATTCGAGAAAATACGGTATTCACCATTTTCACATAGACCATAATGGACCTTGTCCCCCTCGCCCCCCTCAAAAAAAGAAAAAAACGTGTGAACAGATATACCTTTCCAAGAGAATTCTGTCTGGTGAAAAATGAATGTTAAGCCCAGTGAACAACACCGTCGGAACAGTCACATGTTAATTTGAATTCCTCTGATTCAAGCGTCGACTTCACAAGGCGATAAGAATCTTCCATGCGCGTCGTTGTTTAATCCTTGCATCGTCCTTCGCTATATGTTTGCTGGGACTTCATCTTCCAATCGGGTGATCCGCATGTCCTCTAGAAGTCAGTGTGTACGTTTTGCCGTATCTGAAAAAATAGATGATCGACTGAATTTTCTTGTTTAAGCCGGCTGTCATCTCAAGAAAGAGTTTGTTCAGATTCGCAAGGAAATCAACTCTACAAGCAACGACTGCTACCCAATCTCCCCAGTCCTCCGATGCCATGAAGAATGCGAGGCAACCAAGAGCCAGCTAACTCCCTTCCCAATGACTTGCGTGGAGACCGGAAGTTCGCAGTCGCTCAAGATATTCAAAGGTATCGAGAAGCGCACCCTGGATCTTACCGGAAGTGACGTATACTTCACTGAGAATCTCATTGAACACACTGATTGCGACTGCAGTGTTTGTGGCCAGTAAACCAGCTAGTGGAATGCCTGACTTGGACTGGAAAATGGAAAGAAAAATCAAATAGACTAATGATTATTAGGCTAATTATTATTACCGTGTGAACAGCTTTTTCGTAAATCAGTACTATCCACACTTAGCTGCTTTTAAAAATACCGTAGAATTTTGAAATAATTCCCTGTGCTTATATTTTTTGAAGGCCTTGTTTGAGGCCTAGCATTCGGAGGGGGCTTATAAACAGAATTGAAATTTGATTATCAAAATCATAGGGCTTACAACTGAATTGAAATTTGTGCCAGTAATATTTCAGTGTGAAAAGATAATCATATTGGCTCATTGTTTACAACTTCGTTACAACCTAATCTCTCTCTGACCATGTCAACTTCAAACACAAAAGCAAGCTATTGAAAATGCGATACCTTACGTATAAGCTGATGCCATACCAGTGTATACTTTATTCGGTGGTTTGTTAGTCCGGTATAACAGTTAATACTTAAGAAATCGAACGCGTGAGAACTCGGGTCGGCGCGTGTCTGTCTAAGATCGGATAAGATATTGCAGGCTATTCGCAAACAAAGCCCCCTCCCACTGAATTTTATATTCGGGGGAATTAAATTTTGAATTGTATGGTGTTGTTAAAGCACTTTAGGGATTCACGTAGAGCTTGGTGTTTACCATTCTTACTAAATTGCCAGTTTCGAATTCTTAAAATTCATACCTGGCCCTGAAGCTGATGGGATGCATACATTAATAATTCATTTCTGTTATTTTATCCCCAAGCCTCGGAGCCAACTATGAATTTTGATAATTAGAAACTGGCCTGTTACACAGTTTGCTTAGAACTTCTGTACACAGTGTCCAGAGAGGATGGTTTTGGGAAAATGCTCAATTGCCCGAGGAATTCACTGTTTTTCAGTGTGCTTGTGTTTCGTTTTAAAAGGAAGTGTCAAAAAATAAATTGTTGATTTTGCATTAGAATATATGAAACATTTATTGCCGTGTTATGTAAAGCCACCGATAGACAGTTTGTAATAAGCTCTTCCCTTTGCCACCCTTGTCCAGTGGGCAATGCTGGTCAACGTGGATCACGGATCGGTGCCGAGGAAAAAGGTCACTTAAACAACTCGCCCTCCTTGTAAGTCGGTACACTCCTCTCTCTTCTCCCGCCCCACCCCCTCTCTCTCTTTCTCTCTGCGATCCCCTACCCCCTCGAGGATTTCTGCAGACACGTATTGTTTAAAACCTTTCCACAAGAATATTTTAATAATGGATGTTTGCATTTGAGTGATTGGTTGGTGTGACTCTGCAGCACTATCTGCTATTTTCACAAGTACAAGATTCTGATTAACTTCCCACCGCCCACTCTGGTGTGGGTAATGTTTGGACAGATAATGTGGTCAAACACAACTTATTAAGTACCAGACCCGATTCAAAAGGTAAGTCAACTTTTTTGGCGATTTAGAAGCAAATTCTGTTTGTTTTCGTTGGGATTTCTCTCCACTTGAGCCAGTTAAAGATATTTTGGTGATTTAAAAGTGACCGTTCGACATTTTATAGCCAAAAAAGTGGTTTCGTTTCGCAAAGTACAGTAAGCCCTAATATTGTCATGAGCATCCCATTTCATGGCGAAGAGGGTGATTATTTTAAAGACTTCGATCGAAGGCTCTGAAGTTGACGATGGTGGTGAAATCTCTGGGCATCGTTGAAGGTAAGATATGATATTAACCGTTGAACAGTAACAAAATTTGTCAATTCTCATTCAATAGTTCTGCACATGAAAATGATAACTGAAACTGAAATAATGAATTTCATGTATTTGGATTGCGGGACGAAAATTATCGAGACGATCATCACAGTTAAATACGCAACTTATGCAGTTTCTTGGAGTATGTAGCAGTACAAACCCTAGCAAAACTCTCTAAGCGAAATCAAGCCATGTTCAATGACGAATACAAGAGTTTTCAAAAACAGGTCAAACGGATGACTTATTGAAAACTGTAGAAATAATATTTTATACTAATATAAGAGAAACCAACCAGAATTAACTTGAAATAACTTCTCGTTCCATAAAAGCGCAAGAAAAAGAACTTGACCAATATCCAGGCATTAACAACAAGCCAACCAACAAATGAACCAAAAAAAACAGTTGATACTTTTTCATTTGCAACTGCCAATCAAACAATTCTCTTAATAGTCAATCGTTAAAGTCTAAGCCGGTGAAGATATACCCTATAGCCTTTCACAGTCATGCGTTTCGGCAAAGTATTCAGCATGCAAGGCATTTCCTCTCAAACGACCGGACCGAAATTGAGTGCTATAAAGGGCCTGTGGACAACAGGATATACACTCCTTCTGACTGGTTAATATTCTTACAAAAGGAGCGATTCGTCTGGGGTTTCTGCACTGTAAGTACATGTGTTTTTCATTCTTGTCATTCGAGGTATTCGAGGGGTTGAGTATAAGCTTTCTGCGCAAAGGTTCCCTAAGATCGTTTGGGTACAAAATTCTCATGAATTCGCACGCTCGCTTTTGTATTTATTAAAACAATTAATCATTGGGCTGAAAGTTCGCTAAGGGCTGTTTTCCACTGTCGCGTAATTTTCCCGTACGAACACACGTAAAATTTACGCCACGCGTAAACGTGAAAGTTGAGCGAGGTTCAACTTTTACGTTTAGGCGTGACCTTCCATGCATTGTCTCTATTTTATTTACGCGCGTAAAATTTACGTGCGTGCGCACGTAAAAATTAAGCGAAAGTGGAAATCAACCCCAAGGGTGGATTTCCACTGCCGCGTAACTTTTACGTCCGTACGGACGCGAAATTTACGTGCTTAAACGTAAAGGTTGCGCGAGGTTCAACTTCTTCGTTTACGCACGACCCTCTATACATCGCCTCTATGTTAATTACGCGCGTAAATGAAATAGAGGCAACGTATGAAAGGCCACGCGTAAACGTAAACGTCGAGCGAGGTTCATCTTTTACGTATTCGAGGGCCATTCCATACATTGTCTCTATTTTTATTTACGCGCGTTCTCACGGAAAAATTACGCGACAGTGGAAATCCACCTTAAGCTTATGGAACGCGTTCGTTCACACTTAAAGGTTAAAAAAAATCGCAATACGACGGATAGTTGGCAAGTTATAATCAATTTGCAATTTCTTTAATCAATATGATCACAAACTGTATAAGAGTACTTACCTAGAGGAGTAACATATTTTGACAGTTCTTTATACAGATTTATTATGGTATTTAGGAGAAAGTAATATAGGGGTTTATTGCTTTGGAACATACTTGTTCAGTCTTAAAAATTGGTTCCATAAAATTACTTCACATCAGTCATACTTGTTTAATCACATTAATCATAGCCCAGTGTAATTTGGTGACACCCCATACTTTTTCCCAGAGAAAAATTAATTTTATTTCAAAGCAGTTAATACTTTACCGCTGTTAGAAACAAGGTTTCGCTGGTCCTGCTGATAGATAGCCCGCAAGTCTAGCAAGCCTTTCTGCTGTATTGATGATTAATATCTACTTGATTATCCTTAGCAAGGTCATGGAAACTAAACAAGGTAATCGTCCAAAATTCACTCCCAGGGTCAGTCTGTCTTGAAAAAGGACGACAGAAAATCCAAGGGAGTGGGTTGGCATTACCTTGCCTAATAACTGGATTTCTCAACACTACAGAATCTTTGAATACACTGGACACCGGCTTTGTAGGATCTTTTAGCACCCAATATGACCTCCCATTGGTACTTTAACCCTACTATCCAAAAGCATATTCATTTCACTGTTCTCCGTATATTCCCTGTACTGGCCCCGGTTGCTCAAAAGATGTATCGCGGTATCCACCGGGTAAATCACTATCTAACCAATTGCGTTATACAGTGGATAGTGATTTATCCGGTGGATAGCTTTATCCACCTTTTGAACAACTGGCGCCAGATGAAGACGATTTGTTTAAAAATCAAGAGCTTTTAACTTGCAGAACCTTTCTCGTGGCCTTTTCTTTGATTTAACAGTGTTTTAAAGGAGAATTTAAAAGCTGGTCATTCTCAGAGGTTGAGTAAGAACTCGGAACTCACTACATACGTACCCAAACCAACCCCATAAACCCAAGTGCTGATGAAGGCTTGTGTCCAGTCTACCCACATTTTCTGTCGTGGCGAGTTATTCTCCTACAGTGTGGTGCAGCTGGTAAACCTAAATAACATTCAGTTTAAAAGATAAACTCAACGCAAATGTTCTATGAACTTGAGTTTTCCCTTAAACCGGCAGCTTTGAATCATTTAAATATACCTAGCATGCTAAAAAGTTACCGGGTTCGCTAAGCGTTACACTTAATAACGGAAAATCAGAAGCGTTTAACCCAGTGGTAAATTTCTACCGCGCGTTTAGCATAAATATTGACGGAGATGCATGCATTTTACAAAATAGTCAGGTTACATCCTCTAAATTGACGAGAATAAGAAGAGTATAGCAAACGTGATCGTTTAAGGAGCAAAGGACTCCCAGGCAAGTTCGGATAATCAGTATTCAATATACAGTCCTTGAGGGACGGTTCAGACGGCCTCATAACCGCTTACCTGAAACGACTTTATAAAGGCCACCAAGTACTGCCTCAAGAAGTGTGATCAGCAAGATACCCTGGGCATTCAGCTATGTCGATGAAAGGTCACAAAATCATTCCAGTCCTCCAGGTTAATCCTATTTTACTTCTACAGGTTTCCCAGAAAGGACTGTGTTCGAGTAACTGACCCGTCAATGGCTCCTATAAAAATTGCTAGTATCGCAGCCATAAAGACCAGTATAGGATTCTACAAACCTGCCCACCGACCCCTCCCTTAACACAACACTGCGCATTAAGTTAAGAGGTCCGTGTAAACGCAGGGTTAAGGGAGGGGTAGGAGGGGAACCTTGCAGAATCGTATAGTGATCCAACGATTCTTTGGCTATGTTCACACTATACCGGACAGCATTTGCGTCGGCACGAAACCCATATCGGATAGGGCTCTGGTTCACACATAACCACAGGGTTCCTACTCCTTCGAGTTCTTCAAATTCCATGACTTTTTCAACGACTTTTTCTAGTTTTCTATGACCTTAGTTAAAGCTTTCGAAAATTTTCAAAACTTTACTTGTTTTGGCATACTTTTTGACCTTAAACAGTTCAACAGAAACAGACTCTGCTATCCACCAAAACGCGTGCAGTTCGCGCTGTTTAATAATGTTTCTTTATCTTACATTATCCTTCCTTTGTCATCTGCAGCAACGACTCTACCAAACAAAACTTTAGTTTTCCATGACTTTCATGGACCGAAAATTAAATTTCATGACTTTCCAGGCCTTGAAAACGAAATTCTTACATTCCGTGACTTTCCAGGTTTTCCATGACCTGTTCGAACCCTGAAGAGCAGTGATTTCGGCGCAATTTCTGCAACGCAGCGAAACTGTGCCGCGCCGATCTCTATATCGGATAGGTATTTAAACCATACCGGATACCTTTTCGTGTCGCTATAGTGTGAACATTGGCTTAGTAAACTTAGAGAGGCAAGAACAGCCTCGTGTGGTTTTATATTCTCAATTTAAATAAGCCAGAGACGCAGATTTGGTTCTGCCGACTCAAAGATATCCGCTAAACATATTTTGTTGAAATAATTCGACAAGTAATGATAATGTTTACGGGTAGCGAGAGTTTTCTTGTGGAGAACAAGTTATATTTCCAATGATTTTCGTTGATATTTGTGTATATTTTACCTTTTTAGCTGAAGGCCGAGCTCTTTACTATAGTTTATAACTTGCCAGTAAATCTACAACGTGAACCCAACAACAGATGAATATGTTAAACGCGGACGGAACGTAGTACACGAACTATACAAACATACTTTCCCTTTTCTATATAATATAACCTTATTTTAGAGACAATCTATTTTAGGTACCATTTGTTTCGTGTGTTCTGAGGATTCAAGGACAGGAGAGTAATCTAAAATGTTTAACCCCAGAGCACAAGAGAAATGATCCTAGTACTAGCGAGTTTGGAAATATTATTAGATTTTCTCCTAAAACTGAGGTCCAAACCCCCTCTGCACTATTGTTTTCTACAAATCGTTTGATAATAGCTGATAAATATACAAAGAAAAAAGCTATCTTGCTGTTATTGCATGAAGAACTCTCCTTGATGGTCTGTTGTCCCATCTGTATTTTCAAATCTTCTAGCTTCTTCTTGCATACTTTCTTTGATCTTTAGGATCGCAACTGAGTCGCAGTGATCCTGAAAAATAATAAAGTCTATCAAAACTCTAATAACAATTCAAAGGGGACAGACGGCAAATTGTTATAATAAGTCGTAACTGTTCGTCAGTAAGATGCCTATTGCCTAACATATGTGCAATTCCACAATCGGTTTTGGCTCCATTATATCCTATACCACGATTGTAGAACATTTTAGGAGAAGCTACACAATGTTGTTTGTCGGTACACTGACCAATTGGAATGATAATCTCCGATAATAATAAAAATGAAAATAATAATTATTATTACTAGTAATATATAATAATTATAATAAAAAAATGTTATTACTACTATATAATGGTAATCCAGAAACTTGTTTGTGGGGAACAGCCAAGATCCTAAGAAGGACCCTAGACACCTATGGCTAAAGGAGATAGCTTGATGGTCGGGAATAAGGCCACCTATTGGTGTGAGACATGCGCATAACAAAAATAATAATAATAATAATAATAATAATAATAATAATAATAATAATAATAATAATAATAATAATAATAATAATAATAATAATAAACTGTAACACAGTCCGTACTTTTGCGTATTCAAGTACGCGCGAACAGTCAAACAAATGGTTTGGACCAAGGCTGAAAACAGACAGCTGGCCTGGGGAGAGCCCGTAAGGCGTACGAGACTCGAGCGCTTCGCGCGCATAAGACTCTTAGGCTATTCTTACGCTGCGTTAAGCCGATTTTGAGAAAAAATCGATCTTTTTGCAGTCTTTAATAATAATAATAATAATAATAATTATTATTATTATTATTATTATTATTATTATCATTATTATTATTATTTATCCTCGGCAGTATTTATTTATGCTGGTGGAACCCAGCAAATGACTTAAACAAATAATTCAAGTCAAACATAGAGAGAGAGCTTATTTCCCTCGTATCGCTGTCTTTCACAAGTGTTTCAACAGGGTTAAGAATCCTACCTGGCCGGAGGCAAACCAGCTGGCTATTCACAAGCGTGGTCGACGATTTGAACTCGGGACTACCGTGAACAAATACAGCTAGCGCAGGGTTCGAATTCTGTCAAGTTCTTCAAATTCCATGACTTTTTCCATGACCGTGTCTAGTGTTTCAAGACCTTAGATATAGCTGTCACTTCCGAAAATTTTTAAACTTTACTTGTTTTAGCATATATATATATATATATATATATATATATATATATATATATATATATATATATATATATATATATATATATATATATTTTTTTTTTTTTTTTTCAAATAATTAAACAAAAACGATCTTTTTTATCCAACAGAATGCGAGATGTTTCTCGATACAAACCTTCAGTAGCTTCTGGAGGAATTCGTTGTATTGTAATGCTATGCTGACTGCTGCTTCCTGCAGCATCAATGGCTTGTGTGCAGTTATTTAGGGTCTTGTGCTGCATATATATATATATATATATATATATATATATATATATATATATATATGTTGCGCAGCTGTTGAGAGCGCACGTGTGTTCTAGAGACACATTTCGCTCTTTTGTCCCCCATTTTTTATATATGTTTCATTTAAAAATTTTTTTAAATTTTTTTTGTTTTTATATATATATATATATATATATTTATATATATATATATATATATATATATATATATATATATATATATATATATATATATTTTTTTTTTTTTTTACCTTAAACAGTTCAACAGAAACGAACTCTGGTATCCACCAAAATGCGCGCTGTTTAATTACTCCTCTTTGTCTTACATTATCCTTACTTTGTCATCGGCAGCAACTAATCTACCACACAAAACTTTAATTTTCCATGACTTTCCAGGCCTTGAAAACGAAATTCTTACATTCCATGACTTTCCAGGTTTTCCATGACCTGTACGAACCCTGTAGCAGTCAGAGCGGGACTTGAACTCGGGGCCTCCGAATTACAAGCCCAGCGCTCTAACCACTCGGCCACGCTGCCTCCTCCTATCTCCGATTTATTTACCTTGAGGTCTGCACATATATAACTCTAAGTTGGGTCAGGAATTTCAGAGCCGACCGAGAAGTCAGAAATAAAGTACACTCAAGTACTGCTTGATTCATTGTTGAGTTTGTCAGGTACACATGGACTGAACCTCGGCTTGTGCCAGGTGTTACAAGGAAGACCATGGGAAAGGGAATTTGCGCGCACATCTTTTTGGGAAGGCGCCGGAGACGAGTGTAACGAGCTGTCTCGTTTCACCGGCCCAGCCTGAAACGCATGCTAATACTAACCCGGTAAGGCACGAAGCTTTGCTGTAAAAACGCGATTTTATTTCGTAAGAATGATTTTAAACTTCCTTTGTTTGGATGACTGAACGCGAAACGCAACTTATAGAAGATATCAGTAGAATACATAATTATTTATCCACGGATGGATCGTACACACTAAAATGGAAAGAAAACATTAAAAGACGAAGCGTTTGATTCTTCCAGCAGGAACAAACGTTTTCTGAGAAGAAAGCGTTCTCTTACGTATCCAAGACAGCATAAAAAATGCTTAGTGCTGATATGTAGGTCGCTACAGTGCCTACTGGGATTTATTAAGCAATTATATAATCATCAAATTGAGACCCGAGTTATTCCGCAAACTCACAACAGAGAATTTAAAGGTTTGAAAAAGTTTATAAACAATATAATAATAATTTTTAAGTAACACATCCACGTAGTAGTTCTTCGTCTACCATCCCTAAAACTGGGATTGGAATTGGGAAAGGTTGGTTTTTAAGGAGAGGGGATACCCGCAGTAATCGGTAGAAAACGTCTCGGAGCAAAGGAAAGAATTAACAACAAGCACAACCCACATATGGCGTCGACACCGGGATTTGAATCCAAGCTACAGTGGCGGGAGGCAAGCGCTCTCGCCACTGCGCCACACTTGCTCCCATTTGTCTGAAGGGTTTAATCTGATCCTGACCACCTGAGTGAGTGGAAGTTCTGAACATGCAGACAGAGACAGTGACTAGACAACCAGTGCGCAAGTCACCATACCGTAATACCCTACTGTCAACTGATGACAGGGCACATATTCCGGTATGATAACTTCTGCGCAGGACTTCTGGGTTCGTGAAGTTGGGAAGAACAATTGAATTGGGCTACAGACTAAGAATTTAAGATGGTAAACCATTCATCAAGAGAACACTTTTGATTCAGGAAGAACTACACGTCTATTACTACTCTTAATTTGTGTTAAATATCCATCTTCAATCCTAGTTATTTTGCTCAAGAAACACGGTTTTTGATAGTTGTTTCAAAGGGGTAGGTTTTTTTACGATCAATGTGTTATGACAAGTCAACCATAAGTCATTCTTTAGCTCTAACCACATTTGGCATGCAACACTAACTGTACATAGCTCAACTCACTTTAAAAGCCTGTTAACGTTCAGTCTAACTTGGAAATGTCTGCAAACAAATAAGAATTATAAAGTCAAACGACCGAAAGAAAGAGAACGGTGATTAAGCCTCGATCCCGTGATCAGCTTTATCCTTGCTACTGACCACGAGGACCGCGGTCTCATGAAAAAAGTTCTGTGTATAACCGAGTGATTTGGCGAACAAAGGGAGAATGGGAATGAACGTATGAGTATTTAAGTTTTTTAGACGTGGTTATGGCGTCAAATGACCTATGGTTGTTCTTAACAGATGTGGCATTTGTTAATTAAGTTTGGGAATAAACACAACCTGATAAGAAACGTTTCATGGTCCGATAATTAACATTTAAACCTAAAAAACGAACAAATTTCTTGTTCTAACAGCCATCCTTTGAAAATCTTTTACAAGGAAAAACAGATTTTACTGAGATAAAACGAAAGGAAAGGCTCAAAATGCCCCGCTGTAAGAAAAAATCGTTTACGATTATGATTTATTTCCGAAATTTAAGTCATTATAAGGATGATTTCAAGTGAATTTATAGTACAAACGCATTGCATGAATAAGAATTTCGATTTGATGTTAAAGTTTACCCACAAGAATAACAATAAACCTCTCAGAGATAGATCACATATCAGTTATTAGGTATTTCACTAAAGTTATATGATCTTTCAACAAGTATTTTATTCATTAATACTACACGCCTACTGTGTTAAGCTTAGTTCTTAAAAGTCCGAGGATGAATACAGGAAAAAATGACATTATTCTAAATCATCTTAATCAAGACTAGTTCACTGAAAGGAATGACCTTCACACAAATAATTGCTGTGCGGGTCCTAAGGGCTATTTTGGAATAGCGAATTTCCAGATGATTTTTGTTTGTCTTTAGCTTGGCCTATTTTAGATTAAACACTTCACGGTGAATATTATCATTTCTTGTATGTCGTCGAGACATAAGGTGTAAGTATTGATTCGAAAAAGCGTTGAGGAGCTTTGTTAAGTTTTTCAAATTGTCAGTGCGACTCAATTTTTTATAGAACTAGTTATTTGCGAATAATACAGTATATACGTAACTTTACTCTTTCTCTCTCGCTCTCTGTTTTATTAAAACACCGATCGATAGAAACAGCACAAGAAACGCCACAACAACGCTTGTTGTAAAGTTCGTCCCACTCCTAACTTTCAAATCAGTCTGACCGGTATATATTTGGTACTTAATACTTATTTTAGGGACGCACTCGTTCGAGCAAATACGCCGGGAATAATTAATCCCGCCGGCCCTTCCAGAGGTTCCGTTTGTCGAAAAATCCCTTTAAGGGCCGTTATTAAACACATTCGACCCTGAACCGCCACCCTGTGTACAGCCGCCCCCTCCCCACAGAAATAGGAGAAGGGGCTCCGATTTTTTCTGAGGGGAGGGGCCGGGCGGCTGTACACAGGCTACTGAACCGCCCGTACGGATCCGCTAGTGACGCCATCAGTTTTAATGATCAAGGACAACTTTGTCCGCTAACTTGTGCAGGGTGAAGAGATCTTTCAAACCAAACCAGAATAAGCACGATCCACTTAAGGAGACCGGAGGAAAAGGCATGTAACATTGACCCGAAAATTTCCACGTCTTGTTTCACTGCCCACCTACCTTTCCTTTCATCTAATACTAAGATCCTACAAGCCTTCCCAAAAACTTTTCCCACCAAAATGAAACCTACTAAACGCCGACCAAAAGAAAACAAAGCGAAAGAAGAGGGGAGGAGAGTAAACGAAGCTAGAAAAAGGGAAAAAAACAAAAACTTCGCGAACTAACATTTTGCCTCTGGATCAGAAGGCCCTAAAGTGTACGACCTGTAAACAGCTTTGTGGTACGCTTTAGCTCTTTATAGCCAGCCAGTGACTAAAAAATCCGCTCGACTAGCTTCAAAACGCGTTTTCAGCAAAATTCCTATGGGCGAATGTGTTAATTATCGGGATTTTCGAGAATCGGGACCCAGGCCCCGACGATCACTACTTCAGATTGAGGGAAATGGCGCCACAAAGAAAGTGATCGGGCTTTGAGCTTCTTTAACATCTTGCAGGTTTGTATAAGCTTAGTTTGTAATTTTCACGCTTTGATTAACACCTAATTAACGTTTTTGATGAGAAAGAAGCTTCTAAGTGCTTCTCATTCTAACTGCTTTACAGGTTGTTAAATTTTATAAACTTACAAGGAGATTTTCATCTTCATTTTAATAGGCTTAAGTTAAAAATCCTTACCAGGATTAGGGTCTGTTTTACAACGGAAACTTGACGTTATTGTTTAGTCCATTTTAGTCCGTCTTGAGTTAAACTTAAAGTTTACAACTTTGAATTCAGCGTATTATGACAATAATTACATGGGCATTATTCGTTCTAACAGTAGACAAGCTGTTAGGTTTTACTTACATTATCTTGTGAAAATGGCAGTAAGTTTCCAAACTGGCTATCACCTTCCCCAGGGGTCCCTGGGTTGTGATCATTTTGAGCATCCTGCAAACAATACAGCAAAAACAATAATGCTACTGGGGAGGAGAGGGTGGAGGCAAGGGTTACAGTTGGAGTGTCATTATAATCTGATTATGAATAAAAGTGCAATTCTAAAATGTTTACCTTTGGCAGACCATCCATATCAGGATTGGAATCTGAGAGAAAAACAAAAACATATCAATGAACAACAACAGTGCTGTCTAGATGTTAATTCCACATTCTGTAGACAGGGAGGTTACATAAATTATTTGAAGGTGGGGAGATATGAAAAGTAATGATTTGCATTCACAACATACTGTTTCAGCTAAAGTAGACATGGAGTTTACAATTTAATCATACCCGGACAAATCTCCAGCCCCAAGCCCCAACTAAGACAATGTGGACATTATTGTAGGATTGGACAGATGCATTACATCTATTATTACACTACCACATGAGAAATTTCTGCAATTTTATTGGCTTAAAGCAGTGAAATACCTACATGTGAAAATTACAAACCTTGTGTGGGTAGTAGTATAAACAAATAATAGCATGATTTGCATGTGATATTTGGCATAAATATCACTCGTGATATTTCAAAATTGTCTCAAATTTCACTCGCCCAACGGCTCGTGAAATTTATACATATAACAATTTCGAAATATCACTCGTGGTATTTATGCCAAATATCACTACAAATCATGCTATTACCTAGGTTAGACAAGACAATTAATAATGCATGGCATTATCTTATATCTAACCTAAACTAAAAATTAAAATAGTCTTAGTGAATATTCTTGAAGTAAAAAAGCTTAAACTGACATTTACATGACTAAATGACTCTCTCCGAAGTTGCTTCTTGTAAAGCATCCAAGTCTCCATTACACCGAGCTGAATCTAGGAAATGTGATAGCACTGAATATCTCCGCCTAAGTTTTGCCAGTATCACGCACACTATAACACTTTCCTATGGAAGCCTTTCTTGAATCAGATAGGTGATATCCTTGCCAATATTCCCATACTGTTAAGTATGCACTTACAGTAGGTTTCATATGGTTGAATTAGGTGTGGTTTTGCACAACAGTTCATAGACACACACTACACTTTATTATCTATTTAAGTCAGTTTGTATGTAGTGTATATTTGAAGCCTTACCGTTCATAACAAGAGTTGGTTCCTGAGCTCCAAGTGGAAGTGGGGGTTCTGGACCACCTCCCATGTACTGAAACAAACAAAAAACAACATCCACCTTTTGTAAAACCACTGCACTTTCAATGGGCAACAGAATATAGAGCTGATAACTTAATTTACTGAAAGGTAAAAACAAATTTATTACCACTCCTCAGAATTAGCCTGTGCCACAGACAGAAACTAAACTCTGGTTAAGTCTGTCTGTGAAACAGCACCAAAATTATTGTTGAAGGCCCCTCCCTGTGTACCAGGATTTGAGTATATGCTTTGGCTGGCCTGTTAAAAAATCCATCGTTGATTTGCCAATCAGGATGAAAGGAAATACGAAATACACTTCTGGTAATTTGGTGAGTCTGTTGGTATCCCAGAACAAGGATATTGGCACTGCTTTGCAGACAATTACTAACAAAGGCTAAATTACATCTGCGAAGCAGGCTACTCAGAATTTGCGTGACTAACTAACTATTTGCTAATAACTACATAACTGTCCCCAGTCATAATATAGACTGTGTTTCAGTGTCAACAAAAGTAGAAAAAGAAAGGAATTCACCAGAGAATAATCATTTTAATAAAGAACTTGAAAGCTGGCACCATGGATACTTTAGCATCAATACATGAAATTCCTAAAATCACTACCAATGCTAAAAATGTGTAATGATTTGAACAATCATCATGGACACCAGGCTTAGCTTTACTGATCTTGAAATATGCTTCTTACAGCTGACATGTTTCCTCCAGGGACACTTTTCATCATGGCATACATGGATTCACTTCCAGTACTCGCTGGATCTAAACAAGACACAAGAACCTGGACTGACCAAATCATAATAAACAGACATGTACAGACATTTATATTGTACACATGTAAGTCATTACTACTCTATTTACTTAGTCTCACCAAACACCTAGATTAGTTAATCTGTTTTAATGACCTTGTCAATAAACTCGAAACTTAAATCTCCATAATTTCCTTTAAGAATAAAAGGTCAAACTTTTCCCCTCTGGAAAGTAAGGTCCGATAGCCCGGGACTAGTGGATTTTGCTATCGGGCTAGTGAATTCTGTTCTTAACTTGCCCGATGGACAAGTAAAAGTTTTTTGAGGAATTCAAATTACATAAGAACTGTGTAATCAATTCTGCTCATCAAAACGTTTTTGGGGCTAGTTGAAATGAATTTTGTGTTAGTACATGCTAACTACAGCTTGCCCAGCTGTAAAACTGACTTTCTTTGCACCCTGCATAAAATTTCCTTTTGATTAAGTATTCATAATGCGTTAGAAGAAAATGGATGTTGGACACTCTGAAGGATGGGACTTGAAACGTTATTGTAATAAACTTGAAACTACTTGCACCCCATAAACATTAGATTGACATCACTATAAGCGGTAATAGCCCATTTTACAGTTGCAGGTGAAAATGAGGCTGGAGTTGACATTGTTTTGATACAACCCTTCCTGCTTTATTATGTAAATCATGTCTTTCTTATGCTTAGTAGTATTTTTTAAGCAAAATTTACATTATAAAAGGAATGAGGTTTGTATCAAAACAAGGTCAACCTCAGTCTCCTGTCTCTCAAAGGCTAGGGCACCAAGCCGACAACGGTAAAATGGCCTGTTCTTTGAAATAATGGTTAAACGCAATTCAAGCCTTTTCGATTCATTTGACACGACAAGAAGATCAAAAAGTAATTTCATCGATCCATACTGGCTTACCTTGAGGACTAGGCATTATCGGTGTTCCAGGGGGGCCTGCCACCTATCACAAGTCAGAGATAATTATTATTTAATTGTTAATGACATGAATAGCAGCCAGCCCTGTAAAGCTTTTATCTTACCCATATTATAAGAAAAGACAAGTGTTGTGTTCCACCATAGGTAATAGCAGAGTGTAATGGTTGTGAAGCCCATCAGACTCCTCTGTGTTACATGTATGTTTTTTTTGTGTGGCCTTGATAGTGCACCAAGTTCAAAATGTTTGGTACCACGGCTATCATTTTGATCTTACTGACCAATTAAAAAGTCACATTAATCTATTCCTTCATAATTTGTGAATAAAATACAAAGGATTGTGCACCACCAGGGAGATTTTGACACAACCCCCCCCCCCCCCCCCCCCCCCTCTCTTTTTTTTCTTTCTCAATATTACTTCAAAAAAAAATAAAATAATACATATATTTTTTTTTTTTTTGTTTTCGTTTTGACTCCCTCTGGTTTCATGTTTTTTTTTTTTTGTTTGACTTTAAAGGGCCACAAATTTAAAAAGTTTGGGAACACGGGTTTTATTTTTATTTTAATTACCCAATAAAAAAGCACATTAAATTTTTTCCTTATAATTTTTGAAAAAAAAACCAAAGGTTGTTGCCCCCCCGGGGGATTTTTAAACAACCCCCCCCCCCCCCAAGTCTTTTCTTTTTCTTCCTCAAAAAATATCCGGCTAAAGGTAAATATGCAATTTAATATCTGTTCTCTTTTTTGGAGTTGACATTTTCAAGGCAATAAAGTGGGCCAAAATGGCAAATAAGGAGATAATAGAAAAGTGTGTCTTCTAACAGCTCACTAGTGTCTTCTAAAAAGCCAAAATAAATTTTTAAAAAATTTAGTACAATCGTGCGAGTTGCCTGCATACTGTACGACAACACAGAATTTTGCTTACCGATGTTGTGGGATTCCATGGTCTACTACCTGGCCTATAAAAAAAACTTAATTTGTGTTAGTAAGTAAAAACTTTGAAACACACACCCAAAAATATTATATTTTAACACTAAAGATTTAAATTAGTTATTGTGAGCAAGATGTAAACCTAGCATAACATGGCTATGCAAATAATTTTTAATTTCCAGTCATTGTTTGAACCTTGGATTACTTTGTCGTTTGGGATTTAATGCAGTTTGCTTGGTTGTTTTCTATTATTTTTCAAAAGAACCCACCTTAGTGTATGGATGCCTTCCATCCATAATAGTTAAGTTTCCAATTAAAAATTACCGCTGAATATGAACATTAACTACACATTCATAAAGGGTTAGCCTCGACGTAAAGTAAAATATTTGAAGAAATTCCGGCAAGCAAGTGTTTGAAATTTGAATATACACGATAGATAGAGTAATAAACAGGTCTTTATCTTGTTGGAATTTGTGAATATATTACCTCAGATGGAAGCTAAGGCCGTAAAAAATTAAAAATTTAATTCAGCGTCATAGCGAACTCGAAACTGGACTGTTATACTCTTCACTCAATAACCTTTGATTATTTCCAGTTGTACTGGGTTTCTTAGTATAAACCTGAACAACAAAAAACCTGTGCAACACTTTTTTTAGTGTACACGTTACAGGTAAATTATATTCAGGTTTTGAAATAATTATGGTAGCCTGTGAGCAAGCTCTCCGGGGCACTCTGGTGGCAGGGCACGAAAAGGAAGGACAGCTTGCAACTAGGTCTCCAGAATTTGCAAATCTACAGCAAAAATGTCTATGTGAAATGCTGAATGGCAGAGATGACAATAGTGATGCCATCATTACCCAAGGCCTGTGTTTTTCAATGTCTGTTTACATTCGCAATCAATTCTGCTTCGCTTGATTGGTGGAAATCTGATAGCTCAGTCATCGGGGAGCTTGTTCTCACAGGCTAGAAACATGGTGATACGGATAATAATACCTCCACAAAGTAAGAATGATGGTTAAACAATCTACTGGGCTATAGTTGAGCAGTAGGAGTCATTTAGTGCTGCTTTTTAATTCTATTAAGTTTGTGAACACTTCAAAGGTCTGGAAAATTCCACTTCCTTTACAATCGTATCATTTTCAATAAACGTCAGAAAGAAAAGATTGCAAATGCATGTTTCAGACACAGTAAAGTAAACAGAAGGAAAAAAACCATGACTTACATTGGCATGTTTACTCCAGGTGCTACTGAACTGTTTGGTGGAGGTCGCATTCCACCATAACTCTACAGATAGGACAAAGACACACACATTTAACATACTGTTATTAAAAATAACACCATCGAGTGCATTAGCGATTTACCAAAACCCTTTCAAGTAAATACCTGGTCATGATCCTTTGACTGACAAATCAAGACATCAACTATAGTTACTATAGTCTACTGAGAACTTTATTGATGCCATTAAGACAATACAGATACCTGACATCCACAAACTAGTGTCTGTTGATGTGAAATCACTGTTCACCGGTATTTCACTTCAACTGGCTCCAGACTGCACTGACAATGCTATTAAGAACTCTAGTTGTTGAACTACCACTACCTACTCAGACGACATTACGGACCAACTCCATATTTTGGCACACTGCTGTTTCACATTCTTTCAACCCATCCTAGTGCCAAAGCCACTTCTCAACAACTTTTAAATACACTAAAAAGTTGTTAATTAGGCCATTTATGTTCCCTGAGCCCTTAATTATTATTGTGTAGTTCCAGAAAATATCCAGACCCCCACCACGGAGGGAATCTCACTTAGGACCCCCCCACCTCCCTGGATTTTCCATTTTTGCAGGGAACTGATGGCCCCCTGACCTCTCCGGAATTTCCACAAGTGTGACAAAGACCCCCCAACCCCTCTGGAAAAGTTCATTTTTCACGAAGAAAGACTATTAAAGTAAAAGAATGAGGCATTTTATGGTTAGTATGTAACGGTTTCCATCAGAAGCTTGTATATGCTTCTGTTTCCATTTATTTGAGTGATCTCGCAACATTAAAACACCACCACAAAGTAACCTAATCTGCAGTTTTTGCTCATCCCCCACTTTAAATGAAATAGATACAGTTACAAGTCGGTTGTATTTATGAATTTACCTTAATCAGGGCAAGGTTACGATTTGTTATTTGTCTTCATGGGCGTAAGGTAGGCGTAATGTGGGTAGAATTAACGAGTCGTGCGGGAATGTTATATGGTGAACAAGTCAAACTTTCAACCTCCAAATTAAGGCAAAACAAAGAGAAGAATAAAATCTCTGACTTCTGAAATCATAACAATGAAGACCCCCTGCATCTTGAAAGGAAACCAAGTTCAATTTACTGTTGTCCGATCGACTGATGCGACGTGCGTTATGTGCGATGGCCGTAATGTTTGCTGAAATCAACACCATTTCAGCGAGCGAGAATTTGATCATGAACATGCCACATCTTCAACCACAAAATTACGGGAAAATGAAAAGGAGAATAAAAACTCTACATTCTAAAGTGGTTACAATGTATAGTTTGTACTTCATGAAGTAAAATTGCCACTCTACGGTTCCTCCATCGATCGACTGACGCAACGTGATGTGTTGCACGCGTTGATGTCTTAAGGGAGACTGGTAACGAGTAATGGCGGCCGAATATACGAGCATGCGACCGCATGCGATAAAACGAGTTGTAGTTGGTCAAATTCCTTTGAAATTACATCCAAAACGCTTTTGGAAGAAAGGAAACCTGGTTAAGATCAAAAGGAACAATCTTAAATGATAAATTTCAAGTTATTTATGTTCTAAAAATGATCTAACAGTTTGGTAAGAAGCAATGTTCGAACTCAGGTTGAAAATGAAATGATATTTACCCCCGGAAAGTGATTTTATTGTCCAACCCCCCTCCCCTCTGGAATTTCCTGGGCCTCTGACCCCCCCACCCCCCTGGAATTTCCAATTCCCTCCGTGGTGGAGGTCTGGATATTTTCTGGAACCACACATTACTAATCATTTGATAATTAGCAGTTATTGAATGAGGCTGATTAGGATGTGAAGAATTATGCAGATTCAGGAGAATGTTATCGGCCAAGATGAATAACATCCTCTGAGATCTGCAAAATTCTTCACATCATACGAAAGCCAAATTCACTAATTGTTTTATTATTCATTCAAAATATTATTTAGTTGTTAACAAGCTTACCTCCTCGTAGACTTTCTTCAAAACTTAGCTTAGTTTTTTCTTTCAGATACATGTACATGTACTCCTCAAAAAGTAGTTAACATCCATCGAGGGATATGTTTTGCGTATAGAGCGTTTTCACATGATGTCATGGCAGCCATATTGGTGTTGCAAAACAATGAAACGGCAACCATGTTGGTGTACCAAGACAACCCTGCGGGAATTAAACTCTTTTCTTACGTAAAACTTTCTTTTGTTCCAATAAATTAGCATAGATGCTAGCCACATGAGTGAAAACGCTCTATTTTTCCATTCCTTCTGTTCAGTTTTAGTTAAAAATTGAACTATTTTGTCTTCAGAGGGATTTTCTTTCCTAGCCCACCTGTGAATAATTTTATATAAACAGCTAGGCGGCTGCGCCTGATTGATATCATATTTGGAAGATGAAAGCAATATACCGATAATTGATTCGATGGTATATTTCTCCATCTTCCAAATATGGTAAATGCCAGTTGTTTATGAAGAATTTGGTAGGTAATCAGAAATGGCGAATTATTTTGAATGAATAATGATATGAAATGGTATTTCCTTACCGGTGGAACAGGAACTCGGGGGTGATTCATTCTACTCATCTGCATGGGTTGGCCTGTGAGTTATGAAAATATATATTTTTATGATATAGACATGAGTGTTTTACTGGAAAACATATCACTCGTAAAATTCATAAAAACTACATTCGGGACCTGTGTGGTTTATTTTCCATAATCTCACACGTGAGTTTATCGATGACGTAATCTCGGTCATTTCCCTCTATTATTTTATCGATGTCTTTTTGTCTACATAATAAAAGGAACATTACACGGCAGCTTGAAGATATGAATGTCATTTTCTGGTGGCAAATTCATATCTTCGTGCCACCGTGTAATATCCTCTATATAACCATTCAAGTACTTTTCTAACTTGATAAAAGGTCCAGTACTAATCAATAACAAACAGGGCAAAAATGCAACAAAAATATGAATATTTTCCACAACAGAACCCTAAGCAACTGACAACTATAACACAGAGCCAATGTAAGACCCATCTTTGTATTACTTACAATTACACTTTTTGTGCATGAATGCAGTTGTGCAATAGTAACAATGAGTGTTTACTTGTCATTGTACAGACTATGATTTGTGCAGTTAAATAAACAGTTGTCTCTAATAGCAAACCTAAACCTAACATATATAGGCAACATGCACTCCTTCTCACATTTTTTTCTGCCAGGCAAAAGAGTGCACTTCCTGACAAAGTAAGGAACAGTACTTGCTATTTTAAGGATACCCTTTTAAGCATTGAACTCCTCAAAATCCATACCCAATCCTTAAGCACATGATTTTGATAAACAGGGGCCTGTTTCATCAAAAGTCCTGACAACTAATGAGCCTGGAAAGCAGTTGTGGTTTACATCCAAGATCCAAGGTTTTAGGAGTTTTGAAGATGAAATAGTAAAACTATCAGTTAACAAAACAAATGACTAGTTTGTTAGCTAGGAACCTGTGATTGTTTGCTTTGGATTTTGATTAGAATATATGATTAATTAAAGAAATGGCCACCAGGTTATGAGAGGGCCCCTGTCCTGGGTTGTGCTGTTACTATGAATGCTCAATTACCTTGATAGCCTCCTGGTTGTCGCGTTGGGTCCATGGTGCTCGGCAATAATGGTTGTACACCAGGCACACCCCCTGGAGGCTGATAAACAAAGTCTAATTAATCAAACTAGCAGCGCTTTGGCGCGGTAGATGGCGCACCCTGCAGAACTGTTGTTAAGATTTCAAGTTGCTAAAACTATGCAATATTAGGCGGGCATTGAACAGCCAGGAATTAATTTCTTTGGGTTTTATTCCCCTTTTGTTTCCTATGGAAGTAGCTGGTGAAAAGCCATATAGTTAACCAGGGGAAATCCCTGGTACCGGGTCTTAGCAGATGCCCCTGAACCTACAATTGGCGACAAAATTGTTGAGACATTGTACTCAAATAGGGTAACTTCAGAAGCATAAGAATTGACACCCATCCCCTGTCCCCTCCATTCAAAGTTGGGATGTCACTTGTTTTCTAAAGGTAGCTCGAACAGTGGCACAACATTGCATGGAGGGGATGGGGGAGGAAACGCTATCTTTTCCCCTTTTGAAGTCCGGAAAACGTCAAAAAGTCCATTAAGGGTGAAGTGTCTCAATTCATTTTGTCGCCGATTGTAGGTTGATTCTCAACTTCCGATATCTCCTACCCAAGGAGACAGATTAAGAAATGAAGAATCAACCTAGGTAAGAAAATTTTACCCAGAAATCAAATTTGTCATGTAAAAGTTACTTGCCACTCTGTCAGCAAAATTTAATATGCAAGACTATTGGAAGGCAAAGCTGATTTTGTGTCTACACTGTTCCCAGTCACTTCAACATATTTCAGGTAAAGAGCTGGAGTATTTCTTTGTCTGTTAAACAACTGCTAGACTATTACATTGTAACTTTAAAGCCTCTATTTTCTATTTGGGTGGCAGTATCGATCTTTTTGCATCACGAAGGACACATCCTCATGGCTTTAATGCACCATTTTATACATTTTAGTGGAAATCCAAGAAGGCAAAAAGCACTGGTAAACACACCACTGAATTAATGAGTTTCTATTGCACGACGTACCTGGCCTGGTATTCTGACATTTGGTGGTCTGTTTGTCGCTGGGTTATATCTTGACATACCATAAGGTGTCTGTAAAGACCAACACAGATTAACACACAATCCATTTTCTTTCAATAAACAATGATTAATGATAATGATGATATTGATGATAAAATAACAAAACAATCTACCAGCTTAAGTACAATCAATAATGATAATAATAATTAAAAATTAAAGAGGAGAACGTAATTAATATCTCTGAACCAACGACAATAAATCAGAACGATGTGTGTCTGGCAAGATTACGAACATGCTCAGGTAGTTGACTTGTTTACTGCAATTCACAAGTAATACACTGACAGTAACAAAATGCTTTAAAACCCTCTCGGAAGGCACAAATTCCTACCTGGTTGGGCATATATCCTTGAGGTGGCTATGGCCAAGACAAGAAATAACTTTAGTTATCAATAATGCAGAATATTAAATACTGGCTAAGAGTACAATGTATGTAAGACTTAAACACCAACAAAGTCAAAATAATAATACAGAAATTCCTGAAAACCGTTGTGACCACTGAAAGTTTCAGAAAATATTCGTGGGAGTTGGATTACATATAAAATATGTACAATTTATTTATCAGTGATCAATGTATTGATCATAGCTAATTTTTTCAGACAAGATCATATTCCGTTCTGAAGCTGGGTAGTTACAGCTCATTATTACTCAGTATTGTTTAGCACATTGATGGAAAATTGCATTACAGGAGAAGTTTCTAACCCTTAAGAAAAAGAGATGACCACAAAATGCTGGTCTATAAAAGAAAACAAATCTACATTGAGATTTTGAATTAAATGATTATAATGATGTAGATAAAAGTGAATTAATTGTATTTATTATATAGACACGAGTGTTTTACTGGAAAATATACCACTCGTAAAATTCATAAAAACTACCTCCCGAGTGGTTTATTTTCCATAATCTCACACGTGAGTTTATCGATGACATAATTTCGGTAATTTCCCTCCAAAATTTAGCTGAAAATTTGTAGACATCTTGCGTCCTTTGAATTTTAATTACACATTTTTCAAAGCTTTGCTTATATTTTGTCCTTGTAGAGCCCTATTCAGCTCAGTGTTATTTCTCAAGATTATTGTAAACAATGTCTTGTATTATATTGCTGTACTGTAAATTTGAGCCTTCACCATTACTTTTTGGCGAATAAAAATCTATTACTTAACGATGTCTTTTTGTCTATATAATAAAAAGAACATTACACAGCAGCTTGAAGATATGAATTTTATTTTCTCGTGGCAAAAACAATATTTTACTCACTCGCTGGGCTTGTTCGTAAAATATTGTACTCAAAAATAAAATTCATATCTTTGTGCCACCGTGTAATATCCTCTATGTAAATGTTGTGGTTCAATTTTATCCTTCCTTCAAATATTATTTTCTTTTGTTCTTGGGTATGGTAATGTATGATAATAACATGATAATTAGTTTCAAACAATAGGAAATAAATTTTAAACCAAGGATAAAATTGAACCACAACATATACATTATTAAAAGAGTGTAGCTGGTCCCATGGGTTTCTAGTATGGACAGATTGAGTTCACCAAACTCACCCAGGGTTGTCACTAAGATTTCAAGTTGCCGGGTAAATACAACAAGTAGGCGGGGAATCAAACGGCTAGGGATTTCTTATGGTTCTATTTTTCTTCTATTTTCCAATAAAAGTAACCGGGGACCACTCTCTTAGTAGCCGAGGAAAAATCCCCGGCACCCGGCTCTTAATGACAACCATGTCACCAAATCACAAATTAAGTCACTGATGGAATGCAACATCAGGGTGAACTAAAAGTCTTACTGTGAAACTCACAAAACCATGAACACCAGAAATATTCATGGAATGTTATTGCATTGCGAAGAGAAAGCCAATAAGGCATGAGGAACCTAAACCGCAAACAGCAACAGTAGTTAGTTTGTGGTTTTGCGGTTTTCTCGCATGTCCTGAACTTCATTGTGATTGGTCACTACACAATCAACATTCCTGACAGTTTTCAGCCGTTCACGGTTTTCTGAGTTTGACAATAACATGTATGATGTAAATGGACATATCAATATTACCTGATTGGGCATGTAACCGGGAGGTGTTTGGTGTGATTGTGGTTGATGTGGTGAGGCTTGCGGTTGTGATGACTACAACATAAAGTAAAAAGTCATTAGCACATGGATCAACATGTAATATATACTTTATTACCCTGGTCTTTAATTAGGGCTGTTGTATGAAAGTAAAAGTACCACAAACGCCTTCTAAAAAGTTTCTGTTTTGATTTACAGGACAGCTGTGAAGTGATTGAAAGTAAGGAGAGGGAGGGATGAACAGACAAGTGGCTCTTTCTGGAACATGATGCTACACATAGTTCCCTTCCAGGAGCCCCACTGATTGTTGTAAGGGGCCAAATGTAACCCAGGGGAATAAACTCAACAAATTAAGCCAGAGTAGACTTTTTCATCCTGCAGCAGCATGCATACACTGTATGTCTGTCAAATAATTACAGCCCTATAGCCCATAACAATTTTTTGTGACAGTTGATTAAACTATTGGGTCACTGAGTTGCGTTCCATACCATTTATATTCATATGAACCAACATTTACCACAACTTCCAGAACACTTCAGGGTTTTGTTATTATCTTGTAAAAATTAGGGCTGATTTCATTTAATCTTAGTAAGGTTGATAAATTTCAGTAAGAAACCAAAGATGTAATATTATATCCTGGCAGATGTAGAAGAATATAAATGTCACCATGAAAATGGCCTCGTGCTAGATTACCTACCGTAAAATAAGGAGGCATTCCTCCTGGCATACTTGAACCACCCGGGGGGCCATCATTCATCTGAGGAAATCCAGGAGATGGAACAGCTCCCTGCTGGAGATTGGGAATGACCTGATGAAGGGTTCATCAAGTTGTGTCAATAACGGTAATAATGATCAGAAATTGTATGAATGGATCTGTTTCACAATTTGAAAAGGTACTACTGCACATATATTTAGAAGCAATTTAAGGTAGTCAAACAAGGTTTCAGCAGAAAGATATCTTACTTCCCATCAAGAAAAAAAGGGTAAAGGTTAAAGCTTAATTTACTATCAAACAATGAAGCCAACAGAGCATGTTTTTAATCCTGTTTCAGAGACACTTAGCTCTTAAGAGTTATGTTTTACTGCTCTGACAATAACAGGACACCCATTTAAGTCATAGTGGTATTTCACCAGCCAGCTGTACTCATTTAGAACCCTGAGTTGAGAGAGACAACTTTGAGCATTAAATTGTGGGATTTACAGTGCAACTACAACTGTAATCTGACCACCTACACAAAGTTGACCATCTGGATTACAGGAAAATAACAATACTTTCAAAGAAAGTTGGCCATAACAACAAGTTACACAAAGCTATGAATGACAAACATTTCATTAGACAATATTTTTCTATTCTTCATTGTATATGTAACACCCAGGAGACTTATTTGTTGGACACAAGCTGTTATTTTGTCATCACTTACATTGTTGCACTTTACAATAACCACCAATCTCAAGTAAAAAATATAACTAACGTTTCCATTTTTGCCACTTTCAATCACTCTAATAATATTTATTGACCTCTCAGGAACACAGGCTCTCTTCAGTGGATTTAAAAGGTCAGGTCGGTAGGTTGGCTCATTTCAATCCATGTTCTTTTTTGTGGTAATTACCGTATTTATTTGATTAACCGCCCTGGGTTCTTATTAAATTTTTGGACCTTGACAGTGGGTGCTTACTCGAGGTGGGCGCTTATTCGAGGCTGGGCATTTATTAAATTTTAAACATTTTCAGCAAGTGTAGTATGTTTATTTTGCAACAAAACAATAAATAGTAAAAACAAAATGCAAAAATGTAACAAAGCAAGGTTTCTGTAAAATACTCTGAAGAAAACTCCTTCTTCGGGGAAGTCTCTTATTAGTATGTATTCAATTTAGGGGGGGTTTGAGGTGAAAGGGGGTGGGCGCTTATTCGAGGCTTATTTACTTTTTCTGCCCTTAGGATGGGCGCTTATTCGAGGTGGGCGCTAATTCGAGGTTGGCCGCGTATTCACATAAATACGGTATGTGTTTGACAACCAACTTCCTTGAAATGTATATATGTTATTTTCCTGTTTTTCAATTGGTCAGCTTTCTCTAGGTGGCTCCAGTTACAGTAGTCACTCTGTAAAAGATACCACATTTCACCAGCTGATTTCGTTGGCATTTAGAATGCAAAATAAGTTCAAAAGGCTTCAATTACAACAATTGCTTAGACTCCCATTTGTCTTATCAGTAACTACACAAAAAAGAAATTACCCTACTCTTACCTACCCCTGGTAAGGTTGCCGAAATAAAGTACAAAGAATTTTGACCTTTAAAGCTTTGGCGAACAAGGACCAGGTGTGATCATGTAAACTTAAATATTTACCACCCTTGCTAACATCTGGGTCATTATTAATGGATACACTAAGTTTGTACTTTGGATAAATGAGTCTTTTTTAAATATGTCTTGATAAAAACTGTTATTAAAATTCACACCTTTAATTGCAAAATACTAAATTGTTTTAACCCTGAACAGGAAGAGAGGTTTAGAAGTAACAACCAAATTACAAAAATATGCTTTGAAAGTAGGCGTTAAATGTTCCGCAAAAAGACACCAAAGCCTTGAATTGTGAATAGCCAAAAGGGCTTCCTAAAAGTGCCCTTCATTTGACCTTCAGCAATCTCATTGGCTCCTTGGCATTACTTATTACAACCTTTTTAGTCCAACTCATCTTGTAACAGACCAAAAAAATTCAATTAGATACATACAAGATAAGACCATGTGCAGAGGACATATCAGCCTCTTTTTTAAAAAAATTAGCTCAATACAGGGAGAATCAGCCATTGGTTTACAAACATATGAAAACAAACACTTTCAAAAGGAGATTTTGCAATTTTGCTTTCCAAAATATTGCAAACTGGACAAACTGGAGAATTAGTAATTTAAGCCTTGCTTGCCTCTCCCATTCTTTTTACAAATAAAAAAAGAAAAATTAAATATTCACTTTTAGTGATCAATGCTTTAAAATAGTTCTGCAGCTGCTCTTTTAACTTTGTGCAAAACAAAATATAACTGAATTTTTCAGCTATAATTTATTAGAAATTTTGATTCATTAGCACTTCATCTCAAATGACATTTTCCCAGTTTTCTTACAACTGAGAGATGTGCTATAAGTTGATTATTTTGTATTGCAGTGATTTTTATCAACAGAAAACAGGATTCCCAGTCACCAAAACATATCTACAGCACAAAAGCCTTCCTTTTCCCTGCCAACACCAACAATGGCATTCCTACTTTTTCATCCTTGTATAAACAAGCAAGTTCTGAAACAAATTTGCTCCAACCAAAACTTTGTCAAAGGTGACTTGAGTGATGTTGATAAAAATAATCACAGAAAAAACAATTTCCCCCAAACCGTTCACTGACTTCTTAAAAAGAACCGTGGTTAACAGATCCCATAGTTTCTAGCACAATAGCAATTCCTGTCAGAATTTTCCTAAAATGCTTGAATGATGTTGGAAACTCAACACCTGCCTAAGCTAGATTTGCATGCAACCTCAATCACAACACGTAACAGACAAACTCTAGTGGTTACTCTACCACCAAAATGTACAAAGACAACACGGAAGGCGATCGACCACCCATGAAGTGTCGTACAACTCAGAGCTGTCGAATAAAAACTTGTGCTATTTATGGGCATGCAAATTCACATTATCTGCGCGTCGACGGGTATGTGGAGATTATCACGCGCGAAACAAGAAATAAAGCGCGGCTGAACCGTTTTCCACGCGATTAAACTGGTTTTCTCAGTGACTTTTCACCAAAGACTCACTTCAAGGAGTTGCTAAGCCTTCATATCAGCTCTGCCACGACATTAAACAGATCCGAATTCTGGCTGAAATTATGCAAATTTTGGGAAACCTCAATACGCATCTCCCCCATAGTTTGTCAACACAAAACATCCGTCGACGGCTCAGTCTCGTGGTTTCGAAATGCTGATCAATCGTTCAATTCGATCATTCGTTCTGTTAATCTTTACTACTCGAGCCAAATAACAAAATCTAAGCGGTTTATTAATCATAGCTGTAAACTGAAGCACTTCACTGGAAACTCATTGAATTCAATATAAATCTATGGCTTACACCTGATCCAATCCTGTCGTAACTATACCGTCGAGTAATTTATTCAAACCTTTACGTTCATGAGCACTCACCGACCGCCATTCACCCGGCCCGGTTAAGCAGGATTTAAAATGGTTAGATCTAAGAACACTCAATTACTCGAAATAACGACGACATGATCAAGTGGCGTCGTCTTCAATCAAACGGAAAATAAACTTATGAAGGCGAAAGTTTCTAATCCCAGAATAAAATGCAACTGGTGGTAAGCTACAAAGACTATTGTTCGTGATAAGCGGTCAAAGGCAGAACTACAAGAGAGGAAAGAAAGGAATACGATATCCGGATAGGAAGCAGATTTTTCGAAAAGTTTGCTCTATAGTAAATCAAAGTTGTCTCTATCCTTTCGACGAAGCAATATCTTTTGGTTCTCGATAAAAAATTAACTAGCCCAACTCGATCGGCATTTGAATATTTCCTATCTTTAGGTTCAAGCTTTAGAGCTGGCAAAATTATTAGTACACGGCAAACTTTTACCCTTCCCCTAAAATAAGTCGAATCAACACGGAAGGCTATTTCCTAACATATCAGTTACGGCTGATGAGGAGCCCAGTTAGAATTCTCACGAGACGGATTTGGTATTTTCTCTGAAAGGAAATGACAGCGGTGCACACTCAAAGACAGGAAATTCTCAGGCGCAGCGAAAAACAACTCACTTTATCTGCGTGTGTGTTTTTACTTCTACGCCGCGATCGATCACCCACATGGAAATCAAACTCTTTGTTTTTTGGGTTTTGCACCCACAACAATAATTATAGCGACAAGTATGTTTCAAGTCGTTGATCTCGCTTGATTTCCGCGCGTGTAAATGTAACAATACACTGCTGTAGCGTGACAAAAATGGGGAACGCATCGACAAACGAATAATCGCTTGCTCGCGAGGATGACGGTAGAAATTACAAAGAGAGTTTTCAAAGTTAGTTATTAGTTTATCTTACATAGTCATGAAAAGCTTTGGCTTCACTGGAGTGGTCACAACTGTCCCTTCTCTCCGGCGCAGCACAATACAAATCCCAAAACACACTGAAATGAAGAAAGGAAAAAGACATACACCAAAGGATATGAGATGAACGAACAGCTATAATTTGGGCGGGAAATTAAAAAAAACAAACGGGATTTTATCTTAAAGAAAGGTTTAGCAAGCACCTAGAGCTACAGTTGAGAAGCCAGCGGAATACTGGCCGTCAGTGTTTCGTGTAAACGACCATTACAATGTACCTCTAACTCTACTGTAAAGGTAATGAGAACCTAGTTTAAAATTCGAATCAACAACTGCCTAATTAGTCCAGTCATTGGCGAACTTACCACCACCATGAATGAAGAAAGCCAGGAGGTTCTCCAAGCGTTATGTTTTTTTCCCATCTTATCTGTAAAAGAACGAAACTAGCCTTCAGTAGCCATCAGCGTAAGTTGTTCGCGACGACGCGTTGCATGTTGCGCGTCCACAATAAAGTCAACTTGCATCCTCACCACTGGGAAAGCGAACAAAGTTTCGAAAGATTTTACCTCGTTAAGAAAAGTCTGTGCACTTTTTTGTGCCCCCACGTGTAAAAGGTATTCATAGACGTACAAAGCCAGCCTGCGAAGAACGAAAAACAGTCGTAAAAAAACCTGTTACACTCTATCAATGTACAGACATGGTGGACAGTGAGCACAAAAGCCGCGCTCGACCCGGCGATGAAACTGTCGAAAATTCGCCAACAATGGTGCCACATTATACACGCTATCCCCCATTTTTGAACACGCTGATTCCATTTCTGACATCCATTCTGCAGGAAAAATAAAGTGCAGCTTACTTTTCGCGTGCCTGAGCATCGGAGGGCACTGTATTCGCCTTGCCTTTGGAGTACATGCTGTGCTGGCCCTGTCAAAGATGTGTCACTTGAGTTCGTCATGCCTTGTGGGGTCCGCGTCACAGACCGGGGCCTAGCGCCTGGTAACTATAGAAACCATTAATCGTTAGCACCGATTGGTCGACGGACAGGACCTCTGGCACAGGTGGAAAAATTGAAACCTTGGAATGGACTGTAAAGCTAATAGTTGCGTGATGTAGCTCTTGAAGTTCAGCGCACACAAAAATCCGTTGGCATGACAAACTGAAGGAAGAATTAGCGGTTTTCACATGACGTCACCAAAATTCAAACTAAGAAACTATCGATTCTTCTGAGTTTCTACTCTTCATGAGGTATTATAGCAACTAAAAACCTTTATTTACACAAATTTTCGGTATAGGGTTCATCGTTTTGCGTTAGAAGACGCTTGAATTTCCAGGAATTAGGCTGGCGGCCGGGAGAGCTCTTATGTGGGTTAAAGACGTTACTGATTTTTTGAGATTTTGCCATCTAAACATTATTCCTTGTTTTTTTTCTTTTTTGAGTTCCTCAAGCGACGAATTCACGCAAAAGCAGGAAAACTCAAAAACAGATGTTTCTGTTGGTTTCCGGCAGCCATATTTTGTACCCCTCAAAGGGATACCAACGTGGCGTCTCCATACAAACCTTATAAATTTGGGTAAAACGTTTTCCCGAATATCTCGGATATGAATTATCGCACTGACCTGATTCTTGGCGAGGCTTTTTGTATATTTATCTTCTTTCATTTCCCAGATTCTGGAATCTGGACTTCCTGTATTGTCTGGTTTTCATTTTTATTCATTTTTTGATGGCGTGATATTAAAAAAAACTTGTCTTACAGCAAAACTGAGAAGTTAAAGTAGGAGCCAAATACAAATATACACCTTTATGTACAAGATCATACAGTGTAACAACTCGCATAAGACAGGATAATTCCACCTCCCCGTGAATGCCATTCCACGACACAATATTTTTGGCGTAGACTTGGAGCTTGTGAAGGAGCCCGTGCAGCAGTATTAGGGACTGAGGTCGACATATGATGTTACTGAAATCTTGTCAAGTTTTCTAATTTAACCACTGTGCAGTAATTATCGAGAGGGGCTCTAAAATGAGTACAATACGACTAACAGTTAACTTGAAATCGCCTGTATAAAGGTTAAAATATATATAGCCTCTTTCTTCCAGTCTAAGACGCTGATATTAAGGACAGCCCCCCTCCATCCCTGTTTCCACACAACATTCACCTTGCACTCAGTCGTAAAACCCTGTCACAAACTGTACAATTTGGAAATAATTACTGCCCTAATTGTGTGACTACTACAAAAAGGGTCCCAAATAGGTTTTCCGGGACCCGGGATTTCCCTTATTTGAAGAAGACAAACTTAAAGCAAGGGGCACAAATACGAAAACCCACGACCTGGCCAGTACCTCACGCATGCGCACAGCCGTATCACACTGGCAGTGGCAGCCATGGACAGCTGTTTCGCCCTTATTGGGGCTTATTTGAAGCTCGGGATTTGGGATTTGAAAGTAAAATCGAGGGGAGTCTCGAGATTGAAAGTATGCTTGGGATGTGGGATGCCCAAATTAACCCTCGGGATTACGGGATTGCTCGAAATTTTGGGTCGGGATTACGAAATTGAAGAACCCTATTGGGTACCCTATACAAAGAGAGAGCTTGTGGCAAATCTGGCTCAGGGAAGAAAATGTTCTTTGCAGAAAGACTGACCGACAGTAAATCAGTAAAGTGTGAATGAACACAGTTCCAAGCCACATGACAAGCAATGCAAAGATCCTCACCATTGAAGGCAAAATGTGCAATTGCAACTACAATGAACTAAGTTATGACCGGGGCCCGGCACTACCTATAAATACCGTATTTTTTTTCCAATAGGCGCCCAACCTCGATTTAGCGCCCACCTCGAATAAGCGCTCATCCTAAAGGCAGAAAAAGTTAATACGCGCCCAGCCTTGAATAAGCACCTAATCCCAACCCACACCCCTGGCTCCCCTCCTACTCCCACTAAAATCTCAAAGTAGCTGTATCTGTCTCTCAGGCGACTTACCCATTTGCCCCAACTCATTTGGTTGCCGACGTTACGATGTCGGACATCCAGGATCCAGCACCAATGCAAGAGAATTCACTTATTGACTTGAGTGACAATGAGACTGAAATTGAATAAGTACTTTAAGAGATAGACTCCCCCGAAGAGTTTTCTTCAGATTATTTTACAGAAACTTTGCTGTTACATCCTCGCGTTTTGTTATTACCTTTTATTATTTTGTTGCAAAATAAATATACTATCCTTACTGAAAATGGTGAAAATCTAATAAGAGCCCAGCCTCGAATAACTGCCTCCTCTCAAGGTCCCAAAAATTTAATAACCGCCCAGGGCGTTTAATCGAATAAATACGGTATACGGGGAGGCTCTACCTTTTTCAGGCTTCAGGTACATGGAAAACATGGAATTTCACTTGTTGAATTAAATGAAATGGTAGGGAAATCTGTCATTTCAGTCTGTAGAAGGACCTAAAGGGCTAATAGGCCCATCTTATGGCTGTCAAAAAGACAAGAAATGTCTTGGTTTAGTGATTTAATCGTATTAAAAAGACGGTGCATTCACAGCACTTTAAAGAGATGCAGTGTTCTACTAAAAACAGGTATGTCAAAGTGATACTTTATTTGTCAAAAATAATATTAAGGGTCAAAAGTTAAGCGGTTGGACTTCAGGGCAGAACCTTTCCATATAAAACTTTGTTGAATGCCCCCACCCCCAGCCGAGAGAGCAACTAATTCCCCCTAGACCGTTTATTAGGTCATTTACGGGGTTTCACTTTTGTGCTGTTCTATAAAAATTACACTTGTACAGGGTCACCGATAAATTTCGCAAGCTACCATTCACTTTGGACTTTCGCAAAAAAGTTGATATCATGAAAATCAAGTTATCTTTTTGAATCATTTGAAGCAAGCACTAGGGAAACACCATATCCAGACACTATTTTTATTAGAATTAGGCCTGTTTCAAACGTCGTTCTACTGTCGTGCTAAGCTGGCTCGACTGAGGCTCGACTGCACACAACACTAGCACGACTTGGTTTCAGACGTCGACTAAATTCAGTCGAATAGAACAGCTGTTGCCAAAAACAAAACACAAAAATAAAGGAACGGTTTAGCAAACTTTTAAATGTATTCTTATGTATTTATAATTTAAGGATTGAGTTCGGCACGGCGGCAGCACGACGTTTGAAACCAAGTCGAGCTACTGCCGTGTAGCGCGGCAAGGCTTTCCGTGCTACACGGCAGTAGCACTGACTTGGTTTCAAACGTCGCGCTACGATATACTGCCGTGCTAAAGTCGAATTTATTCGACGTTTGAAGCGGGCCTTACTGTTATCAGGAGCCCATAACCTGCTGTTAGTTGTAGTGTGCTGTTAGTTCATTTCAATGTGTTCAAAACGCACATTTCAAAACATATTTTGAACTTGTGGCATATAACAAATATTATCATCATCATCCTCATATTATTATGCGGTATAAAACGCAAGCCTACGCTGAAAAAACGAACTGTGTTATGGAATGTTACAAAAGTAAATTAAAAAAAAAATCAATGATACAGAAAGATAAAAGTGAAGCTCATAAAATACAACTAAGAAATAAAAAGTAATACATTTTTCGTCACTATTGCGATACTATGCTCAGCTATAATAAGCAGTTAAACAACAGTTGCCTTGAAAGTACTATGTTGAACGAGCATATTCAGCTCAAGTTCCTTTGACCACCAACCTCCTCGCACATCAATGACAATAATTTTTACACTGGTCAATGTTATACCCTGGGTATTTGCTTCCTCAACTCCCATCGCAGAACACTGTCCTTGACTGTCTCTTCCTCATCCATCTTCCCACGATTCTCCACCCATGGACAATTCATTTTAAGACCAAACTGAGGCCCAAAGGGCCAAAAAAATTTTTTTTCTTTTAGAACCGCACCCCCCTTATCTCAGGGTCTGGATGACCGTCTCACCCCTTATCTTAAGGTCTGGATCCGCCACTGATTTCAACTGCACAGACTTTCTTTCCCTTATGATCATGAACCGTGCATAAGTTACTATTGATCCTTTATCCTCCCAGGCTTAAACGGAAAAAATGCCTGGCTACGCCCCTGGCGATTTTGTCACCCCCGCATGCAAGGCAAGTGGTATATTTTTGCGCCTTAACGCAAGGATCTTCAAAACATTACCGTTGTCCAGCCGCGAGAAAGCGAAAGGCAGACGAGTGCAAAGTGCGAGACAAGTGTGATCAAGGAGCGAAAAGAATGTGTGTGACCGACTTGAACAATAAATATGACGGCGTTATTGACCAAGCGTCAGGTGGTGTTACTGCAGTGATATGTACACTCTGGCAATCACTTTTCAGATTGCATCCCGGGAACGGTTGTCTGTCTATAGAAACCAGATAATGCACATTCTTAACATTGGTGAGCTAGGATAGGCAGCAAGAATGATTACAGGTACCAAAATACCAAGTATTTTTAACAAGTCACCATTTCTCCAACCTACCGGTTGTCCAACTCGTAGTTTTCGCCTACTTTTCGCCTGCTTCTGGGGAAAATATCCTTTATTTGGAGTCGAAACTGCGCCTGGACTGCGACGGACCCGCAAGAGGCTTCCTCTTTACAAGCTCTGCTCACATGCATCCCTTAAGGGACTGCCCTCGCCTAGAGTTTTGCTGCTCCCAAGTATCCTCACACCAAATCTGGGTTGTTAGATTCGGTACCATTAAATCGGCACATACGGCGTTGTTTATCAGTGGTTCCCAGTATTTTCAAGTTTTTTTTTAAGTAGCCGCATGCTACGAGAGAATCTTTGCAGACCTTATGTAATCAGTTAAACTCCTGCAGTTATGATCATCTTGGAGAATTGACCTATGTCCTCCAATGTTTTAGGTCTTTTCGTGTTCCTTTATGCTCAGGAACCAGTTGTTTTTCGAGCGGTCAAGA